TGGACCAAAATCTCTGAGGAATGCTTCCAGCACCTTGTTGAATCTATGCCACGAATAATTGAGGCAGTTCTGAAGGCAAAAGGGGGTCCAACCCGTTACTAGCGTGGTGTACCTAATAAAGTGGCCGGTGAGTGTAGGTTCTAGGGATGTAAATCACCAGCTTTATCACAACACTATATTACATCGATATGTTTGGATGATGACTCGATATTTCTCGATATCACTAGCTGCGTTTCCATTGACCATGAAAATGCGCAAATTAGAATTTCGAAAATAAATTTGCTCAAAGGAAAAACGTCAATTTTGAAAAAACTTCCTTCTTTCGACAAAATGATTTTGCGCTAGGATGAGGTGATTTTTCGGCCATATCGAAATTGGTGTGTTTCACAAAACTGTAATGGAAACACTTTTTTCGCATCACAGGAGTCACGTGATCAACAACCGGTTGTTTCTACTGGCGAAAAAGATGACGACGAAGAAGACAACAGGAAGTAGAAGCAGTAGTAAAATCACCAAAGTTGTAAAAGAAAGTAGTAAACTCACCGACTACAATTTCCCAAAAACGCCACATACAGTACGTAGTCGCTCCCAAGTATAAGGGGCTTGTCGCTTGAAAGCCTCAATAAGACACCAACATCTCCTTTGATGGTGAGCGCTAGTGCCATGGTAGCAATTATGTATGTGTTTACTTCCATTGTTTGTAATGACTTACCACGAGAACAAACGTATTCACGCGTGACTTTAATGGCATTTCTTACTTAATGGAAACACCGCAATTGCGAAACTGTGTTTTTCGACATTAACAAAATACCGACAAAGTTTTGCACACATTTGCAATGGAAACACAGCTACACAATCTGTCACGATATGATTTCGAATCAATTCAACTCACGTCTGAGATCGATATAACGCAATATCATACACCCATCTAACACAATGACTGTGTTAGATGGGTATGTGATAGATTCACATTGAGTATATGATGACGATATGGATCGATATTTTCATTTTGCCTCAATATAACTGAATCATGATCCAGTCAAATCGATATATCAATATAAATTAATGTATCATTACACCCCTAATAGGTTCACATCAATCAAATAGAGAATTTCTTTTTATCAATCAAATTCTACAGTGAAATGGTCAAAACACAAAACATGCTTTTATATATATATATATATAT